ATAAATTTTGTTGTTAGAACAGTACAACCATGTTCTAAAACACAAAAATATGAGAATTTTTGCATGGTTAAGGAACTAATTGTAATATGAAACTCCAATTTTTCTTATAACCACCGAATGGTAAGTTTGTCATTGCTCAGAGATTCTTTTTGAGTTTTTTAAAGTTTTTAAATTGTCTTAATAGTATCTTCAAGTTTAAGGTCGTAAGGAAATAGCTCAATAGAGGGAATCCAATGCATAGAAACTTAGGACTAATTAGGGAAGCTAAACAAACAAACTGAACAAAATCACAATAAATAAAGTACTCACAAAGCGCTAAGCAGTAAAACATGTTGAAATCATAAAGAGATACAACACAAAAATTCACAATCACATAAATACAAAAAAAAAAAAATAATCTTAGCACATAAAATTAATGAAGCACAATATTTTTGAATTGTTGAATATAACACAATAAATAGCAAAAAATATAAAAAAAAACACAACTTTTCAAGTCTATACTCTCAAGTGTTCAACTAAAATTCTCCTATGGTGGAAATTAACATCATTTCTTAACAGTGATATCAAAAACGTGATGCTTAATATATTATGAAGCACACGACAAATTAATATACAGAATAAGAGTCTTAGTATCAATCCCACAAAAAATTATAACATTCCTTATGAGTGAATTTATAGTCTATTAAACCTTAAAATTAGTTTGAAGAGTTCAATGTTTTGATAGTGTATAAGTCCTAAAATTAAAAACATGTCTATATTTTTGGATTTTTTTTATTACATGAAAGATCATACTCTTTTGAATCAGATCATGTGAATCTTTGACATTCTTCCAATGAGTTTCACACATTATAATTGACAACCAAGACCGACACTATTCCCTAGCCCCTTTTGGTGGCCTTAAGAAATGTCGGAGTTCCATGTTATAGTTAGCTCTCTAACCATGCAAAAATTCTTGTGTTTTGTGATTCCCTGCATGATTGCACTACTCTAGCAGTAATATTCTTGTTCTCCTAATTTAGAAGTGTACATTAACCTAATCATTACACTAGCCTACTTTTGTAGTATTAGATTACAATTCATTTTAACAATCTAAATGACTAGTATAGATGTAAATTAAAAACAGAATTTTAATACGTCAACATTTATCAATATCCTACTTAGTTTTGGAAAATCTCATAGAGAAAATATCATTCATCACTTGTACAAGACACAAGAGAATGAATATTTATTTTCTAAACATGTTTGAAAAAAGGAAAGATAATTTCATTGAAATTCAAAGTAAAAATTTACAAAAATGAAAACAACCAAACAAAAAATTATTCTCCTTTTACCCCACTTCAAATCTTTTTTTACAAATGAAACTTCACTTTGATTTACGTCCCCACACTTACAATACGTCCCCACACTTACAATACAACAAGAATTACTTAATAGACACTCTAAATGCTAGCACACACATACACACTTCCCAACTCTCTCTTCTCTTTAAATGATTGATGAAGAAAATAACACCCAAGGTGCCTTGAAACCATTGAATCTTGCTAATTTAACCATTTGAAAGAGAAATGACGTGATAGAGACCTCAAAAATTATAATCTCACGTATTTAGGTACCCAGATATGGAACCTGAATGCTTGGAGCTCTATCATCTGGTGCCCAAGGGCCCTAGACAAGCACCCAGGACTGGTGAGGAGGTGTCTGAGCTAGCGAGGGCGAGCTCAGACTGAGCGAGGGGGAGTCGAGCAGCCATTATGCACTCTATTTTAGCTCCATTACTAAATCAATGGAAGAAGCAAAGATTTTTGACAACTAGAACCTACTAAAGATGGCATCAACTACAAATAATTTACCATAGGAGAAGCAATTACATTATTATTTATGATGGAGCTTGATGAAGAAAGCACTAATAAGACCAGCAAGGGTCTTTTGATGAGAGATTATTAAAAAAACATAGATAATACCAATGAAATTAGGAGAAGATGAGTTTATAAACCGAATGCTAATTTTATGAAGATTTTTTATGAAAATATTAATGACTTTTTGGAGAAGTCTGACAAGACTTGAGGATTTTAAATTAATGCCCTAAATCAAACAACAGTAAGGAAATGAGAATTAGGAATTGAGTTTGCTATATAGATATTGAGTCGAACATCATCAAGTTCGAACTCAGGCTCATATAATATGCAAACCATAATCTAAGCTTTGATTGAGCTCTTAGCTAAATAAGTTCAATTTACAAGCTTGAGTTTGATTCGAGTCAACTCACTTCCACCCTCATTCAATGTAATTCTACATGTTATGTATATGCATAAATTATGTGTTTGTTACTTTTGTGTGCCATGTTGCCACTTACACAATGCTGCACTACTTTGTGTGCAACATTTTAGAGTTATTGCTCAATGCACTCCACCATTGTATACCCCATCATTGAGCATCTCATTGCCATACAATTTGCACAATAAATCATAAGTGACTACCATTTTAAGCACATTTTCATTGCACATCACACATTAAGGTGCATGTTGCTGTGTTATCCAACATCACATATTCACACACACTAACATTGCACTGTAATAGTGAACACCGATTGGACCTCATTAATGATGGAAGATCAAGTAGCATAGGAGCATAGATATGGTGGATAATTTGACTGTCGATGTATTTCTTTTTCCTATAATTTAAATAATTTTTTAATCGAGAAAGTCACCTTCAGGATATGATAAATAGTTCAAAATATAATTTTACATTAATTTTATTTGGCATTAAACATGAGTAAAATTCCTGCAAACCTTTTATTTCCCGTACATAAATCATAACAAAAAAACAAATAAAAATAAATAAATAAAGCAACTTCCAATTTTCAAACTATTTAAATTTCTCCAAGCCACTAGCAGGAAAGAGCCTGTGTTCCTTCGCAGTCTAGATATGGTTTCCTTCCACCTTTGGGGCAGCATGATTCTCTATTTTATAATGCCTAGCGAACATCTAGATTTCTCTTCTCAATGCCTCCCCTCTCCTGTCCAACGATACCATGAATGCTAAACAATTGTCTGCAACTTACATAATCCCACATTAACTTCCCCCACGAAGGTTTCATAAGTTGTTCATTGAAGCAGTGTTCCCCTGACAATTCAACCAATACTCTGCAACAAGCTTGGCAAAGTCGGAGTCTTTCATCTCCATCAAATTTGATGGTCTGTCATACTCCACAATTTTCCCTGTCAATGAGACATACTATCAAGTTAATAATCTTTGTTGATTACTTGAAGCCATTAATATTGTTCTTAGCTATTTTGATAAGAAGAAAAGTATAGAAAAATTGGCTTATTATATCCTTATTTATATGGTTAACGCAATCATTAACTGTTGTTTTCTATGCTTCATAAAGCTTATTCATTTTCTGATTAGTCGGAATTGGTGTTGTCAATTCCTTGCAATGATTTAGGATGCATAAAAAAAAAGAAAAAGTGTGGAATGAATTTTGTTTATATTGCATACCATAGGAAAGCACCATAACCATATCACTATCAATTACTGTAGGAACTCTGTGAGCTATTGTTATCACCGTGCAGTTGGAGAACTCCTTTCTGATAACTTTTTGGAGGATGGCATCTGTAGCTGAATCAATGGATGCGGTTGCCTCATCCAGAACTAAAATTTTGTTTTTTCGGAGGACGACTCTGCCGAGACAAAAGAGTTGGCGCTGCCCAATACTCCAGTTCTCACCATCATCGCTCACTTTCAAGAACAATAGTATAGTAAATATTATCAACTTTAAATGCAAGTAAATTTACCTTGGGTTGAAGGGAAACACATGGACTAACCTGTTGAATCGAGGAGGTTTGGAAGTTTGCTAATGGTGGACTTGAGCTGGCACTTCTCTAGAGCCTGAAGTTATGGAAAAGATGAAAAAAATGTAAATTTTAGTAGGGAAGCATGGCAGAAAAAAAGTAAATAATATATGCACATTGCTAAAAGAGAATGGGGGGAGATTATAGACTGGAACTTCATATAAATAGGTTTGCATGCATTTTGAAGCATATTTGGTTTGAGCTTAAAAATTTTTTTAACCCGCGCAACATTCTAATACCTTGTGATTGAGCATCTAATATGTTGGTCGTAACACATATGACAATTTTAATGTGCTGGTTTGAGTTGATTTTATATAGTTTTGCACATATTGAAGAGCATAATTAGTTTAAACTTAAGCATTTGTTTAATCCGCGTACCATTCTTGGACCTCTGATTGAGCATCTAACACGTTGGTCGGGGCATATACATAAATTTAAGCTTGTTAGTTTGAATTGATTTTTAAATTGCATGTATTTTGAGGTAGATTTGATTTGAGCTTAAGCATTTGTTTAACCCGCGCAATGTTCTCGGGCCTTGTGATTGAGCATTTAGTAAATTGGTTGAAGCACATGCGGGTAATTTAATTTGTTTAATTTAACTGACTTTACCGGGGACTTTATTATTATTTGAAAAAGTGTGTTATTATTGAGATGAGAGCAAATATTTTCATTGAAGACCTTGATTTTATCTATTGCTCATTCGTGTATTTGGGGTTGTGGATCAAGTGGTGAGCGTGCAAGAGTTGAATTTAATTTTGTAGCTTTTAAATTATACTCAGTTTATATGCTCTAGTCAGATGCGGTTTTAGTAATTTGTCTGTATATAGGGGTGAAATTCATCTTTATATGGTTTATTAAGTGCAAGTGGATCCCATGCAACATCTTTTTCCTTCAATCTATAGAATGACAGTTCCAATTCAATCCATTCCATTTCTGAATTCAGTTTTTTTTCTTTTTAGTTGTCAGAAGTTTTGTTAAATATGGAGAGGTTTGGAAAGTGTTTTAAGAAAGGAACGCTATAAATTTCAAGTAAGTTTGCTTATTATATTTTTATGCATTTTTTAATTTCTTAAATTTATTTTCTCTTTACTCTTTGATTTTGGGATTTTGAAATTTTAATTGAATTCCTATAAGAAAGGAACGCTATAAATTTCAAGTAAGTATGCTTATTATATTTTTATGCATTTTTAAAGTTCTTAAATTTATTTTCTCTTTACTCTCTGATTTTGGGATTTTGAAATTTTAATTGAATTCCTAGTTTCATTCAAAATCCGACAGTGTTTCGGCAGCCTTCTAGCGTCGTCTCCCGATGGGAGTTGTATTGAGAAACTAAGATTTTCCAACCACACTTCCAAAAATGTGCATATTCAATATCTTTCTACTTTAGAATCTGGAGGTCTTCAAAACTTACCATGCTTCAAAAAGCGTGTATGGGGCTTCATATAGCCACATCAAGAAAATAAAGCACACACAAGAAGTCATTCCCGCCACAATGATATGACACAAACGGATCTTTAACTCACCATACTCAAAAAAACATGCATGGGACTTGAGACACCTACAAATGAAAACTTACGAGACATATAGGTTTTCTCCATCAACACAACGGGTACTTATATCTTCACATAACTAAATCATTTAGCAATATTTGAACTAGACATTTGCAACCCCCTCTACACAAACAATACAGTAAAAATTCTGAAATTTCACTTTTTTTTAAAGCTAAGAAAACAGCCTAAATATATAACTGTAGGCTCCCATGGTAACGTGAATGCCACTTGTCCACCGTTATAACTTTTATTCACCGCTAGAGTTTAGGGAGGTTATTTGTATAGACGACAAGTAGTTCACGGGTTGAGGAGGAAGCAGGGTTGGTTTGGTTGGAGGTGGGTGCAGACTGCAGCAAGATAGATAGAAATTTATCTCTATTAAGAGGGAACATAGGAGAAGGATGTTTGAGGAAATTTGGCGTGTTGTATTTGCGTGAGATGAGAAGCGGAGAAGAGGGGAAGCTCAAAACAGAAAGGAGAATAGTTGGCTAAAGAGCATGAGGATCATATAGTGAAGAAGGGAACATGTTTTATGTGAAAACAATACGGAAACAAAGAAATTCACCCAACAATAATCAAACACAAAAGATTTACCTGGTTTGACATTAAGTTGATTCACTTACATCCATGGGGTGGGAAATTTCACTAGCACCGTATAGGAGAAAGAAGAAAACTAGGAATTACAACTTTTGCACTTCTCACCATAAATCTCTCATGAACCCCAAGTCCATTTTATAGAGGAGGATGAGGGCATAAGTAAATAAAGAAAAAGAACAAATTACCCCTAATTACAAAAAAAAAACAACAATCTCAACTTCATCTCTTACTTCTAGATAAGTGAGAGATGGGCAAATGAGATCCAAACTCTAATTGAGTTGCACCAAGATGATTGGTTACGTACCCCACCAGTATGAATTAAACCTCATGCAGATCTTTAAAACGTCCATCTGGGCAATCGGCTCTGAGATCGGATATTCACCAAACTTCTGCAGTAAATGAACTCATGGACTGGTAATAACTTTGTGAGCATATTCTCTAGATTTTCCTTCATATTTTTCTCCTTCAACAAAACCTTGTCATCGTCAACTAAGTCCTGAACAAAGAGGTACATTACATCAATTTGCTCGGTACAAGAATAACGGATTGAATTTATGGCCAAGAATATTGCACTTTGACTGCCACAGAACACCATTAGAGACACCTGATCAATTCCTTAGTTATCCAATAGGCCCTACATCAATATTGCTTCCTTCATCACCTTTGTCACTGTCATGTTTTCTGCCTCTATAGTAGACAAAGCAACAGTTGATTGAAGAATCGACCTCCAACCGACTGAATCTTCTGCCAATGTGAATAAATAGAAGTCATCGGTCTCCACCTATCTATATCACCCTCATTGTCTGAGTCAGTATAGCCTACACACAATTCTCTAATGGATGACTGCCTCTCAAATGCCAAGCTAACATCATCTATACCCTTAAGATACCATAGAATACTTTCACATGCTACCAATGTTTCCTTCCTTAAGCATGCAAGAAGGTGCTCACAACAACAACTGCTTGTGTAATGTATGGTTTAATACAAACCATGACAAATATCAGGTTGCTCGTTGCACTAGCATAAGGAACCAATCACACATCCTTTTTTCCTAATCATTCTTAGGAAACTCATCTGAACTTAACTAAAAATGTGATGCAATGAATAGAATCACCGCTATACTCGGTTCATCAAGCCCAAATTTCTTCAGTATCTTCTAAGCATAAGCTCCTTGTGAAAGTCAAACCTTCATAGATGTCTTTTTCCTGAGGATCTTGATGTCAAGAATTCTATGAGTTTCACCCAACTCCATTTCAAAATGTTTGGACAGTTAATTCACCTTTCTATCAACCTCAATCTGACTAACAGATGCAAACAACATATCATCAACATATAGAAGAAAGTAAATGAACTCATCGTTGGTCAACTTCTTAAAATATGTACAATGATCATACTTGCTTCTCGTGTACTTCTGTCCCTCTATGAACTAATCAAATTTTTATACCAATGTTGTGGTGACTACTTCAATCCATACAAAGACTTGTCCAGTTTGCAAACCAAGTCTTTTGATGCTCCATATCCAGACGACTGCAACATGTAGATCTTCTCTTGCAATTCTCTGGGTACGAATGTAATCTTCATATTGAGCTATTCCAAGTTTAAAGCGCACTGTGCTACAAGTGTTAAGAGAATACTAATTGAGGGATGCTTTTCCACTGAGGACACCACATCAAAATTGATCTCTTATTGTTGTGTTGAGAAGGACACCACATCAAAATTGATCTCTTATTGTTGTGCAAAGCTTTTTACCACACATCAGCTCCATGAGATCCTTCATTCTTTGCATACACCTATTTATACTCGATGGCTTTCCTTCTTAGAGGAAGCTTCACCAACGTCCAATTACCCTTCTTCTGAAGAGACTCCATCACTTCATTCATTACCGCTGTCCAAAGATCACAGTTTGAGCTCTCCATCGATTCTTATTGTGACAGAATTTCTATCTCCGTGACTGAAAGTGCAAATGCAATGTGATCCCATCAACCAAACTGGTTTGGGGACATTCTGGTGTCTGGCCATGCTCCTAGCAATATATTCATTATTAGAAGTCTCATCTTCAATATATTTTTCCATCTCCTCCTGAGCACTATAGATAGAAACCTCCTGAGCTGCAACTAAATTAGGTATTTAAGTTGAAGTGGAAAAACTTTGTGGAACAAATGAAGTTGCATCAAACTCCAACTTCTGATGCATATCTTTGGTCCCAGTAGTCTTAAAAAACTTGTATCATTAAATGTGACATCTTTTCTAATAAAAACCTTCCTTTCAGATTGATTATAGAGCATGAATCACTTTACCCTACGCCTAAAGACAATGAAGAATGTCTTCTTTGCTCATGGTTCTAGTTTATCATTTTGTATGTGGTAATAAGTTGGACACCCAAATACTCTTATGTGCTCATAAACTCTAGCAGAATGCCTAGACCACATCTCCTTGGGGGTCTTATTCCCAATAAATATTTAAGGAAGATGGTTTACCAAGCGACATACATTATCTATGGATTTGGCCCAATAACCTCTATCCAACTTAGCATTAGATAATATACCAAAGTTTGGTTCATCCTCTCTGCCACCTCTTTTTGTTGTGGTCTCTCAAAAAGTGAAGTGGTGCTCTATGTCAACTTTTGGTACTCTTGCAAGAGCGCATCCAAAGTGTATTCACCTTGATTGTTGGAACTAATACACAGTCTCAATAAACTTCTTTCATGTTATAAAAACCTCTAGCACATAGCTTTTGCACTTTATGGTGTACACTCAAACATACCTAGAGTAATCATCAGTAAAAGAAACAACGTATCTCTACTGACTGAATGCCAGTAAATGTGAAGATTACTCTAGTTTAAGATTTTTTGTCCTGCATAAACTCATATTAATAATGTAAAATTAGAGTCTAGATAAATATAGTGTGTATTTTTTGTTATAAAAGTGAAGTTAAAAGTTATAAGTTATGGAATTAAGAAACAAATAAATTGATCATTAGTAGAGATATTGTATTTGATTTGTTTGTCATGTTACAACATATGCTATAAAATCTAAAGATAATGATTAGAAAGAAATATCTAGCAGACAAGTGGAGCTTCAGATTGATAAGGTACATTCTTGGACATAACTTCTGAGTTAAAATTTTGACAATCATGATAATGTTTTTTTTCGATCATCACGACAGCTAGCATAAAATTCCATTGCTAGGAATAGAACATGAAAAAAAAATCCATTTCAGAGGTATGGTGAGACTGATTTGTTTGCTTATTGTCACCTCCCAAAAGAGCCCTTAAGAGAGGTGGGCAGCCCAGGACTTAAATACTGCTTTTCGGCCCTACACCTAGCCGATGTGGGACTATTTGTCCGTGACATTCTCCTCCACCCAATTGAAGAACCTTCAAGCCATAAAGGGTAATTAAATGATCGCTACGAAAGAGGAGATTTGATCCTTAAATAAAAATAGAACTTGATATTTAGTAAAATTATCTCAAGGCAAGAGAATTGTTTGCTATAAATGAGTGTTTAAGAAGAAGCAAGGTACACCGATAGTTGAAGACATTTGATATAAAGCTATGCTTTTTAGAAAGAGATTCGGTCAACTTATAGGTGTAGACTTTGCAGATTTATTCTCTCCGGCAGTCAAACATAGTTCAATTCGAGCTTTACTTAGCATTATGACTAAACATGAACTTGAGCTTGAGCAGTTAGAAATAAAGACTATATTTTTGCTTCAAGAGTCTGAAGAGGACATCTATATGTTGCAGCCTGAGGGCTTCACGGTTATAGAAAAAGAAGACCATATTTGTTTATTGAATAAATCTTTACGGTTTGAAACACTCTCCTAGGCAGTGATATAAAAAATTTGACTCATTCATGTTTGCTAAAGACTCTAAGAGAAGCAATTTTTATAGTGGTATTTACTTTGAGAAAAACAATAAAGAATCATTTATCTACTTGCCCTTATATGTTGATGATATTTTGTTAGCTCTTAGAGATAAAGAAGATATTAAGACGATAAAAGCTCAACTTAGCAGTGAATTTGAGATAAAAAATTTGGTTGATGTAAATAACATATTTAGTATGAAGATGCAGAGAGAGAGAGAGAAATGTAGATAAATTATTTCTATGCCCGAAAGGGTACATTGAGAATGTTTTCTATAGATTTAATATGCAAAATAGAAAGCATGTTAGTACTTCATTAGCTATGCATTTTAGGTTTTTATCAGCTTTATGCTCCAATTTGATGTTGAAATTATTTATATTTCTCGAGTTTCATATTCCAATGTAGTTGAATCTCTCATATATGCTATGGTATGTTCTCAACCAAATTTATCATATATAGTCAATTTAATTCAATGGATATATCAGTAATCTGGGTAAAGAGAAATAAATAGCAATTTAGTGGATCCTCAATTATCTATATGGAACAAAATATACTTGTTTATAGTTTGGGATGACTATGGATAAAGTCATCTGCTATGTTGATTCATATTTTGTTAAAAATCTTAATAGAAGACGATCACTTATAGAATACATTTTTACTATTGGTGGTTGTGCAATTAGTTAGAAGGCTACTTTATAGTAATAATGACACTATCTAGAAATGAAGCTAAGTACATGAAAATTACTGAAGCTTGCAAAGAAGCACTTTGGTTAAAAGGTCTATTTGAAGAGCTTATTGAAAATTTGAAGATCACCACATTGATGTGTGATAATCAGAGTGTTATTCAACTCAGCAAAGATCAATTATTTTATGAGAAAACTAAGCAAGTTGATGCTCACTACCAAATTGTTCATGAAGTTATTGCTTGTAATATTTTTGTGAGTAATATCAGCACCCATGATAACCCTGTGGCTATGATGACTAACCTAAAAAATAGTCAATTTTGAGCATTGCTTGTACTTTCTTGATATTAATTCCTGATCATTAGAGTTTTATGAAAGAGATAGAGAAATTTTTATTATATATTCTTTGAAAATTCATGTCAAGATGAAGATCGCTTAATATGACCCAAATTTTGTGAGTCTCGCCTATCGTCTCATAAAGAAAGTATGACCATGCAGATTGAAGCTTTAGAAAAAAATTGTGAACACGTGGATTGAGATTTTAGAAGGAAACAATGAGCACACATATTGAATGTTTCGATCGTTAGATCAAAGCTTATAATAGCATTTAGATTGCAATCCATGTATTATTGTTTTATGACTCTCTTTTAATTATTTTTTTTAAAGGGATCTTGCTAAAATTATACATACCCTTCTTATATTTTATGTAAAAAAAGGTTCTCAACTTATAATCTCTTATTTGATATAGTGAATTCTCTTTTTTTGTCTGTAGTTTTTCATATTTTGGGTTTTTCAGCGTAAAATTTGTGTTATTTTTTGTTTATTTTATTATTTGTTGCATCAATTTAATATCAAGTTATAACAAATATCAACTGAACTAGTCCCCATAGAAGACTATTTTAGCCTCAATGTCAAGTGTCTAGGTACTAATTTAGTATTTTTATAAACTTTGGGACTAAAATAACCACATATAAATATAAACAATCAGAGGATGACTATTTTAAAACTGTGGGGGATTAGGAATATTTCTGACTGAAGTATTATAGTGATGAAGTTCTTTGATTTTTTCTCACCTCCCATATCTCAAAATCATTGTGCATTCCAAGAGGATCCAAGTTGCTTCTGACGCTGCCCCTAAAAAGGGTAGGCTCTTGAGGAATTATGCTGAGCTTAATCCTCAGATCCTTTAGACCTATGGAGCAAATGTTCAGATTGTCAATAAGAATGCTTCCACTAGAAGGCTCCACCAGCCGAAATAAAGCACTTATAAGAGTCGTTTTTCCGCTTCCTGTTCTTCCAACCACACCCACTTTATATCCTTCCTTCAAAGTGCAAGTGATGCCTTTAAGAACAAAGGGAGCAGTTGGGCGGTATTTTATCTGTAAACAAATAGGGAGAAATCAATTGTAAGAGACAATAAAACACCAAAAGGCCAGATAAATACTTGCCAATCCTCACCTTAAGGTTTTGTAAATCAATTCTTCCTTGATGCGGCCATGATGGTGATGGCCTGTTCTCATAAATGATGGCAGGGGGTTCTGATGGAATGTGCATGAATTGTTTGATTCTCTCCACAGAGATGACATAATTTTCGATGTTGGAGTACCAACGAGTTAGAAACACTTGGGCTGAAGATAGTGTGAGAGCATAGGAAAGACAGAGACCGGAGAAACCTGCATCATTTTTTGACTGAGTGGCTCAACACTGAGAAGAAAATAGAATGCATTTATAAGGAGAAAGAAAAGAGTTAAGAAAATTTGGTATCAATGAACCTGGAGCAATGGTTCCCTGAGGAAGTAAAACGAGAAATACAGTGGAGGTAAGTACTGTCAAAGTTTGAAGTGCTTCCACTCTCAGTAGCACCCATTCCATGGCAGCAACAGTGTGGAAGAATAGCTTTGCATCTGTATCAATAAGTTTTAAATTTGTATGGAAGAACCTTTCAACTGCCCCAAAAGCTCTTATTGTTACAGCTCCAAGCAAAGATTCTCCTGCAAAATTCATAACAGGTGCCTTTGTTGTCCCATTGATTCTCACCAACTCCCTTGCTGATGCTAGATAATAATTCTTCAGAATTTGGCAACAATAGAGAAGGTTTTAGATATATGGTTTAGTCTCTTACATCTCCTCTAACTGCTTCAGTATATACAAAAATGTAAAAGACAGTTGGGTAATGTGAGACTCACCTGAACCCAAACAGTGATGATCAAAGCGGGAACAGCTACAAGAAGAACTTGCCATGTCACTGTCGCGATTATCACTGTTGTTGTTACAACTTCAATTGCACCTATTAGCACAAAAGAAATAGAATACGGTATGTCGAAGTCAACAATACTCAAATCTGAAGAAGCCTGCATAAATGATTGATGATTTGATTAGTTACTCAATCTGAAGGTCTAAAAGATATACTTTTTGGGTTCAGACTTGAAGTTTGTGAGATGATGAGGGAACTAACCCGAGTTAAGATCCTTCCTAAAGGGGTAGAATCAAAAAATGCCATGGGAGCCTTGAACACTGAATCCATGAAGCCAGAAAAAAATTCCTTTGATGCTCTCAGTCCAAGAAGTGCTGTTAACACGCTTCTTACGCTTAAGAAGACACAGCCTACCGTTGAAATTGCTGAAAAAACTCCAACTAACATGGCATCACTTTTATGAGGAATCTGGACGACTGCAGCCAACCAGTAATTTGATAGACCCTGAAGAAGAATAAAAACTGATTGGAAGGTGATTATTAAGGCAAAAAGGAATAATCCCTTGGAAATCTGAATGTAATCCTTATATGGCTTCAATCCAGCATTTCCTATCTCCATTCCTTCCTCTTCTGTAAGCTGCACTGCTGATAAGCTTGTGACTGAGATCTCTCCCTCGCTGTTCTGTTTCATAGGCAGCAATCTGTTTACTTGTAGATGAACTTCTGCTGAAGTTGTTTTTCTGTTTTCATCATCTGAAGAATTTATTGTTGTAATTGAAAACTGGTGTGCAGTAACTAGCCGCTCAAATGCTGTTCCTGGTTTCAGAAGGTCTTCATACCTTCCTGTTTGTATGATTTTCCCTCCTTCCATTACCTGGAGAAAGAAGCTAAGTTATTGAGTCTTCTTATTGTGAGAGCTTAGTTTGTGAAAGAAGTCTGCTTACCAGGATTCTATCCGTTTGAGGAAGGAACTCTACTTGGTGAGTCACTAGAATGACAGTCTTATTTTCTAGTGCAGTCATAACGCAGTCCTGAAATTTATGAAAAAGAGAAAACCTGAGTAAGCCAAATAGACATTTTCCCACTTGCGTCCATCTCTGCAAAACCTCCCAAACCTTTTTTACTTACGTGAAAGAGGGTTGATGCTGTATGTGCATCAACTGCACTGAAGGGATCATCAAGAAGATAAATATCTGCATCATTGTACACAGCTCTAGCCAGTTGAATTCTCTGTTTTTGCCCTCCACTCAGGTTTAGCCCTCTCTGTCCTATCTCTGCAAGGTCTCCATGATCAAAATTCTCAATATCCTTATCCAGTGCACAGCATCTGATAGCATTCTGATATGCTTTCTTGTTCATTGGCTTTCCATAGAGTATGTTGTCACGCAGTGTTCCACTCTGAATCCAAGATGTCTGTGAAACATACGCAGTGGTACCATTCAAGTAAACCTGAATGCAACTGAAATGATGTTAGTTTCACACAAATGGCTATTTTCTCCCCTAAAAAAACTTTATTTTCATTAAAAGGATTAAGAACTTACTGATCCGGTAATTTTTGAAATCTCCCCTAGTAGTGCATATAATAGTGATGACTTTCCAGAACCAACTGAGCCACAAACAGAAATCTTTTGCCCTTTTGCTATCTGCAAGTTTATGTTGATTAATGTAGGAGCAATAGAACTCTGTTCCCAACTGAAGATGCCATTTTTTATTTCAGCAACAAGATTCAAGTGTTCTAGGTGGATTTTCTTCTCTCTGTCTTCTTTAATTTCATCCTCTAGCAGGAAGCTATCGATTCGGTCCAAGGAAACCTTAGCTTGGATCAGTACAGAAAGAACCTCAGGAAGCATCCTTACTGGTTCTGACATAACTCTGAGAGTTGCTAGAACCGTGAAGATGGTACCCGCATTTAGAGGAGCACTTCTCATGATTGCAGTACCTGCAAAAATCACTCCAGAAACAACTGTGGGTGATATCCAATACAGTGCTGCTCCGCAGGACTTTGTCAATTGAATTTTTCTCAACCATTTAAATTCAACACCTCTCAGGGCTTCAATTTTTTTTCTGAAATTTTCTTCCCATGATTGTAATTTTATGATCTTCATGCTGTTCAGGACTTCAGATGTAGCTCTTAGCCTCTCATCTTGAGCAACCATGAACTGTGACTGAAAGTGCTGCAAAATCTTTGCAACAGGAATGTTGATGAAGCCAAAAATAACCAAAGGAATGATACCTGGAAGGGCTCCCTTTCCCACAGTTCTGAAGAGTATGGCTACTGAAACGAGAAGCTGGAGAGGAAAACTCCATGCCATGTGAAACCACCAAGGGAAATCCCCAAGCCTATATGCATCGACAGCAATGTAGTTAACAATCTCACCTGTAGAATGTCTTAACCTGCCCGGGCTTGATATCCTTAGCTCCTTCTGGTAAAGAGCTGCCATTACTGCAGACCTCATCCTCATGCCATACCTTCTCGAGTCGAAGTACCAATGCCTCTGAGATAAAGAATCAACCAACTTGACTATTAGCAAGCATCCTACTAAAACCATGCCTTTGCTGAGCTCTTTGTGCTCAAGCCTTGAGTACCACACAAATGCATATAATATCAAAGGAGAAACTGCAGTGGATATTGATTTCATAAGTGCATAAAATCCTACTATTATCATTTCCTTTTTGTAACATTTTGCCAATGCAAAAAGGACCAAGTTTCTTGTCCTTTCTTTGCTCCTGATGATAAGATCCCATTCAGTGGAGAAAGTATTGTAAGCATGAATTGCTTCATCTTCATCATTCAAAGAGGGGATGTCATTGAGTTCTAATGTTTTTGAACGGCCCAATCGAAGTAAGGGATTTTGCCATGTAAAGGTAAGGCGACTAAAGATACCAGCTTTGCTGAGATTTGAAATACCATTTTCTTTTTCTAACAGGGTCTGTGATAGGCTCTCACTTGCAGGTTTTCCATTGAGTTTGTTTTTGATGATCAGTTTGAGAGCATAGTAGAGCAGCAGCAAGTTTACAATCCATTGTATGATAACAAGTATTGGAAGGCTATGATTTTCAACAAGATCCTTTACATTAAGGGCTGTAATAAAAAGCGCAAATGAAGCCCACCAGACCTGCAGAATGGCTTCCAACCAATTATTAGGATGAACATTTACAGAAATTGACAAAACAACCCAGATTACTCCCCTTAAAGAGAGAACTACAACTTGGTCCCAATGAATATGTTTTCTTTCGTTGTACAAAGTCCAACAAGTTCTACTAAAGTATGCAACACCCATGATTACGCAGAGGGTTGAAATAATAATGGAATCCCAGTGCCGCCTTCTATTTTTATTGATTATATTATGCCTTCTGCATGCTTTTATCGTTAACGCCAGCATAAAATTCAGAAGGAAGAAAAGGTTAAGAATATCTATTAATAGTCTCTGCGTGCAGGAGGAACCCAAATCAAAGCTCTCTGTTAAACACATCGAAGGGAACCAACCTGCAACTCATTGTACAATAAATATATAGTATAAGATCCAAATTCAAGTGAAAATTTAAAGGAAAGGTGAAATTATTGCAGAGGACACAAAACTGCTACCTTCCGAGCTCCAAAAAGAAGCCATTTTTTTTTCTCGGGTGATGTTTTCCCTGCTTTGCTTGCCAAGTCTGAGGTGATCTCTAGCAGCTCTCTATTCTAAGCCTCTTCGAAAAAGCTAGAGACAGCGTTGGTGGTATTCAGTAAGCCAAAGATAATTTTCTCTCTTTTATTTCTCACGCTGCGCTTGATATCATGCATTGAAGCAGTCAATAATGAGATGATAATTTAAACATTTCTGCAGGAGTTAAGTCATTGTTTGTCTCATATTGCTCTCAGCATTAATGCCCATAAATGCCGCATGATTTGTTTCATTTCGGTGATTCAGCAAACATTTTCACAGAAATTTATGGATAATATTTTCTAGGAAGCTTTACATGCATACCACTCAGTTCTTCTGTTTTTACATATCTAAAACTTAAACTTCTATTTATGTAATTATGGTATTTGTGAAGAGATATGAAAGATTTAGATGGTATAAATACAAAAATCAAAGTTTAGATGTCTGATATGTAAGACCATAAGAATAAAGTGGTATTTATGTAAATGTCCCTACTTTCTATTTAACATTGTTTTTAAGGGACACATAAGTGTATGTCCCTACTCTCTATGTATGCTCTGTTGGATGAGGAAGATGAATTTCAGGCAAGAAAACAAGCTCGGACCTGAAGCCTCCCAAATGAGATCTAGTCATAAATTAGGCTACGACAATGCTTCTAGAATGTCAAACTTGCCTAAAAAGTGTTGAGTGTATAGCTTGTTTGCATGGCATTCGCTGCCCACGGCACCTAGACAGGCATTCCAGCACCATGATGGGGTTGCCTAGGCTCCCGAGAGGAGTGCAGAGTGGCGCCCAAGTGCCCAATGTTGAGTACAACAACGTCGCAATTTCGGTCGTTTCCAAGTTCAGAAACAAAGCACTCGAAATTCCCGCAGCTAGAAGGGGCACGATGGTATTTGGATTCGTGACTTCAACTTAGGTGACTGAAAAGGCAATGTCAGGGTGCAGCACTACGGCGCCAAGTGCAGTTTAAACTTTGATAGGGAATTAAGCCCTTATTTCATAGACGATCATACTTTTTGCCGCCTCGTATTCTTGATTGTGTGTAAGTGGATTTTGGCGAGCAATTTCTCTTGTGCGATCAAGAGATAAAGTAACATGAATTGTTGTAAGTTTCAGTGTTATAAAGAGTGGATCTGAGTGGCATAATTTTGTACTATTCTCTTTTCCTAATAATTTTTTTTAGTGTGGTGTGGCTCCATGATTTTTTTTTGTTCTCTAGTTTTTCCACGTTAAATCATTATGTGATTTTTTTTGCATTTCTTTATTGTTCACTTCAATTCAATTTATTATTTTGGATCTCTTGAATTTGTGTGTTTTCCGCAGTGCGGTTTGGTTGTAAATCGAACAAAACTCAAGTTTTCATCCCAATAAGTGGCATCAGATCGAGGTTTTGTCTGAAGACTTTTGATTCGAGTGGAAGAAATGACGGACAAGCTGAAGAAGTTCAACTGTCCAAATTATACTTTATGGAAGATTTAAGTGGAAGATTTGATTTATAAAATATATTGTATCTACCAATTTGAATAATGACCGTGAATCCTAAATCAATTACTCTAGAGAAATAGTAAGTGTTTGATTGAATAACCGTAGGTTTGATCCATCTTTCACTTTTCTCATCTATTTTTTTCAACATAATGAATGAGAAAATTATGGTGGATCTCATGGAAACACTAATAAGAATGTATGAAAAACATTCTACTTCAAATAAAATTTTTATGATTAAGAGACTATTCAATATGAAGATGTTGAATGATAGTTTAATAGTTGAATATTTGAATAATTTCAACACTGTGAAAAATTAGACGTGTTCTATGTGCATCAAATATGATGACGAGGTCATGTCACATTAGTTTTTTCTTCATTGTGGAATAGTTGGGATGGACTAGTCATAGTGGTGAACAACTCTTCAGGTGATATAAAGTTAAACTTTGATAACATTGTATGATTAGTACTGAATAAAGAAGTTTGCAAGAATACAATGAGTGGTAAATCTTAATTTTTTTGCATTAAATGCTGAGAACATACGAAGGAATCTGGATAGGAATAAAGGTAGAGATAGATTTAAGTTCAGAAGAAAAATGTCAAAGTCGGGAAAAAGAAATTGACAGATGTAAATGTTGAAATAATGGGAAAAAAGTTCATTTTAAGGACTACAAAGCTCTAAGAATGGTTGGTGGTGGAGGTCAATACAGAAATCTCTCTACAAAAGTCTTCAGAAACGAGATCTAAGGTGACTGCTTAGTTTTATCTCTTTTCGATATTGAATCTTGGATAGTAGATTCATGTGTGTCTCAATAAAGAGGTGTTTAAAAATTACATTCAAAGTGATTTGGAGAAGGTTGATTTGGGAGATAACAATGCCTGTAATATTATAAGATAAGGTGATGTTGATATCAAGTTATCAAATAAAATAATCCAAAAGCTCAATGAAATTAGATATATTCCAAGTTTGAAGAGAAATTTGATCTCAATAAGCTAATTAGCAATGTAAGGTACATGATTGCATCCACAAGTAAATTGTAAAATGAGTTTTCTCAAATTCACATCGTAAATGTCAGAAATGGTTTTGATGTGGTTTTGAGGGTCAATCCACCATTTACTTCTTTTCTATTTCAGATGGATCAATCCCTTCTCTCTCCATCTCTCCCATTTTTCTTCTTTTCTTAATCGTTCGATGGCTTGATTAGTTTTGCTTATACCTTGGTATAAGTGTGCATATTTTATAGGTTTAGGTGCCATTGAACGGGTTGTAAATGGGATGGTTCGGGGTTTGAGAGGCGATGATGAAAGTGCTTATGTCTGCTACTATACATTAGCTTTCGGTAGGAGGATGCCCCAACTTTCTCAGATTGTCGGTAGCTCTAGCCCGAGCGAGGCTGTTAAATGGTGGGCTGCTTGATCTTCAAAATACTTATATGTACAACATAAATGAAACAAAAAAATATATTTCCTCGCAAAAATATTACTTTTGAATGTCCAATATGCATGAAAAATTAAAGAAAATTGGATACAATACAACAAGAGTCAACCCGTTAATCGCCTTAACCGCGGTACAAGAATTGCCCTACTTAGATTGTCTGGATAATCCAAAATTGGATTTTAAAGCGCATAGCCCAGCTTTGAGTCCACCCGGCCTGAAAGCTTACGGGTTTTCTTTGAGCTTTTACATAAGCTCTTGCAATTTCTTTTGAGTTTTCACGAGCTTTTTGTGATTTTCTTCTAGTTTTCATGTACTACCTAGTTGTCTACTTTTTCATGCACATGTCCTGCTTGTTTACTTTTATGTGCAAAGCTGATCATTCTTATAGGAGCGGCGAAAATTTCAGGTACGCACATTTAGCTTCTTGTTACATTCTACTGTTTCCCTTTACTGTGATTTACTACATATACATATAGTTCATACTTGCGATGTTACAATTATTGTTTACTGCGCTTCATAACATGTTTATTTTTTTATTATTCATGCTTCTTCTATAGACTTGCAGGGGCCCTTAGGATGGAGGATAGTGGGACACCTGGTTTAGGAGGCACCCTATGGCGAGCCACTGACCAAACCAATTGTATGTACATCTTAAATCCTAAACCCCCTGATCTTTGCAAAAGGAACTCAGAGCAAATTTCGTGGGCAGCACGATAAGGGACCAAGCTGACGAATCAAGACTTGAAACAGGATCTACATCAGCTAAACCCTTTCTTAGTCTAAATAATGACAAACCCATAGGGCTTCGAGGTAGTCGGTCTAGTGCGACATAAATCCTTATATTATCTTCAGGTTTTTGCACGACCATGTTGTGCATCATAAGTCATAACTTCTTTTAGGATTTTGAGGTTGTCGTTCGGTACAACATAAATCCTCTTATCTTCTTAAGCTATTTGCACAAATCAGATATCTTGCAAATATAAGTTCTAAATTATAAAAAATAAATTACAGGAATTAAACACTACATAATATCATTTCAAAGATATAAAACCAAACAATATAATAATTTGGAAAGTCGCCGGGGTTTCCCTCGGATCGGTGACATCTCCTACTTTTTTTTTCTTTCGGGCTCCTAAAATAACTGTTTCTATTTTGAGTCATTCCCTTTTGACTTTCCTATGCCCAATATTGAAAACCTAAACTTTGAAATTCTATAGAATCACTGATATTAATCGAGAGTATTTTTATATGACTCCAGTCATTTAAGATGTAATTAGCTATAGGGGTTTGCC